TTTTTGTTTGTTTGTTTGTTACTTGGTATTGAACTCAGGGGCACTCGACCACTGAGCCACATTCCCAGATGCTGATGCTCTGTCTCAAAATAAAAAGAACTGGGGATGTATGTAGTTCAGTGGTAGAGTGCCCTGGATTCAATTCCCATTATTAGAAGGGGAAAGAAAAAAAAAAAACGGAAAAAGACTTGGGTGGAATTTGTGCATCAAAGATTAGTACCCTCCTTGGAGATCTCCTTTCCAGAATTTCCTCTTTGCTTTCCAGCAATTAAGATCACTCCAGCCTCCACCTTTGGTTCTGCAGACCAGTAAGGCAACTGGGTTTCCACCTGAGTTTTACTCGGGGGCTGGACTGCATGGGTCCTCAGGTTAAAGTTGCTGAAAAATCAACCAGAAACCAAAATACTAACAACAACAAACCCACCAAAGCCAGGCGGTGGTGCACATGTGTAATCCCAGAGGCTTGGGAGGCTGAGTAAGGAGGATCGCCAGTTCCAGCTTCAGCAATGTCGAGGCCCTAAGCAACTCAGTGAGACCCTGTCTCTAAATAATATACCAAATAGTGGGCTGGAATTGTGGTTCAGAGGCAGAATGCTTGGCTTGCATGTATGAGGCACTGGGTTCGATCCTCAGCACCACATAAAAATTAATAAATAAAGGTGTCATCTACAACTAAAAAACTAAAAAAATATTAATAAGAAAATACAAAACAGGGCTGGGAATATGGCTCAGTGGTTGAGTGCCTCCAATCCCCAGTACCAAAAAACAGAAAACAAACAAACAAACAAAAAAACCCACAAAAAAAACCCACAAGATACTCACACAGTGTTGATCTCTTCTTGCAAGTAGCTGGGTTTTGGTTTTGGTGTTAGTTTTGTTTAGAATGTCTAGTTATCTGCAGGAGGGTTCTCTGTTAGGAGTTCACTCCACTGTAGCAGACACATAACTACTCCTTCCTCTTCCCTTTTTTTTTTTTTTTGGTGGCACTGAGGATGGAACCCAGAGCCCAGCACATGCCAAGAACACGCTCTATTGCTGAACCACACCCTCAGCCCTGCCTCTTCATTTTCATAGAACCAAACCTATCATTTCCTAGGACTAAAAGTGGAAAATTCCCAGCACCACCACCACCAAAAAAGAGGCAGACTCAGTTAGAGAAGGCCACGTTTTTGTCTGCCAACTCCAAAGGGCTCCTAGAAAACAAAAATGAGGGATTTCAAACAAAAGAGGGGATATCTAAAGTCATCTATGTCTTCTCCTTCGGAACCAGGATGAGGCTCAAGGATCTCAGCCAAGCCACCACTACATGTGAACTCAACCTCTGGCAAGCTAATACCAAATTTGTTCTGCCTCCAAATGTTCCCATCCTGCAGTGCTTGCTTCTGGAAAAGGAAGACTTTCTCTTACCCTTTATGTACTTTTCCTTCCTTAAAAAATATGACTTTTGGGGCTGGGGTTGTGGCTCAACGGTAGAGCGCTCGACTAGCACATGTGAGGCCCTAGGTTTGATCCTCAGCACCACATAAAAATAAGTAAATGTACTGTGTCCACCTACAACTGAAAGAACCCCAGGGCCTTGCTCATGTAGATGAATTTGTATGCTGTTTTTTGACTGTTTTTTTCAGGACTGGGGATTGAACCCAGGGCCTCACTCATGTTAGCCAAGTGCTCTACCACTGAGCTGTCTCCAGCCCCGTTTTTCTTTTGAGACAGGGTATTGCTAAATTGCTGAGGTTGATCTGGAACTTGGCATCTTCTTTCCTCAGCCTCTCATCACTGAGAGTGCCAGTGTGCATGGCTACATTGAGCAATTTCTTTTTCTTTTTAGCATTTTTACTTAAAGAATTAACTCAATTCCTACATATCTGAATACATGATGTGTTTTCCTCTGGTGCTGGTGATTGGATCCAGGGCCTGGAGAAAGCTTAGCATGCACTCTACCACTGAGCTACACCCCAGACCCAGAATATTATACTGACTTCACAGTGGGAGAAACTGAGGCACCAAAAAATACTTACCCAAGGTCACCCCGATCAGATAGGTGGTGACTCCATGATTGAACCTGGCCATCTGGAAGGATTCCTGCTCTACAGTTATCAGAGCGACCTTCTTGGGAGATGTGAAAGTGCATAAAGCTAACATGTTCAGAAAGCATCTCTAGATTTTCTCCAAAATCCCGAGTTTAGTTGTAAGGTCAGCTGCTCCCGTTATGTGGCCAATATTGCGCTAACAGGCTGAATAATACAGTGGAGAGAAACCTCACTTCCTGGGTTTGTATATTGCTTAATGTTTTATAAGCTTAAGAACAAAACCCACCTGACCTTCTGGACGTGGCTGAAGGCTTCCTCAGCACTTGGGGCTAAGTGATGTTTGGCAGGGACGTCTAGATCTCCGGATCTTGTAAAGGTAATACCCTAGTCTGCCCATTCTCATTACGCTAACATGACTGCTGGGACACTGGGGACTTCCTAGTGCATCCTACATAAAAGGCTTCCCAATCTGCCCTTCTTCCATCCCTTATTTGTGAGATGAGGTGTGGTTTTCTTCTTTGCTATTCGAGTATAACAGCTGTGGAAGTTTATTATTTTTTTGTACCAGGGATTGAACCCTGTGGGAGTTTGGGTTAACCATCCAGCCACATCCCCAGCCCCCCCTTTAAAATTTTTTTTTAGTTGTTGATGAACCTTTATTTTTTATTAATATATGGTGCTGAGAATCGAACCCAGTGCCTCACACATGCCAGGCAAGCGCTCTACCACTGAGGCACAACACCAGCGCCCCAGCCCTTTTTAAATATTTTGTTAGAGACAGGTTCTTGCTGAATTGCTTAGGGCCTCATTAAAATGCTGAGGCTGGATTTGAACTCGTGATCCTGCCTCAGCTTCAGGAGCTGCTGGGATTACAGACATGCACCACTGTGCCAGGCTGCACTGCAAGTATTTTAAGATAGCAGGCAGGTAAGCATGGAATTAAATGAAGGGCTGGGAATGTAGCTCAGTGGTAGAGAACACCTGGACTCACAAACACCCCCCACTACCACCACCAAAATGTAGGACGGGACTGAAGGGACTGAGAACTTGGGGACCGAACCTAGGAGCACTCTACTACTGAGCTACATCCCCAAACAGCTGGGAATACAGGCTGGTGCCATCACACAGGGCCCAAGACTAAGAAATCTTTATCATGTTGTAGTTTTGTACATTTGCAGGTAGTTTCCTCCCCGACCTTAACAATTTGAACCCAAGGACACTATCACCAAGCATCATCCCGTTTTTTTTTTTTTTTTTTTGGTACCAGGATTGAACCACAGGGGCACTAGGCCACCGAGCCACATCCCCAAGCCCTATTTTGTATTTTCTCTAGAGAAAGGGTCTGAGTTGCTTACGGCCTAGATAAATTGCTGAGGCTGGCTTTGAACTCAGGATCCTCCTGCCTCAGTCTCCCAAGCTGCTGGGATTACAGATGTGTGCCACCACACCCCAATCCGGCCCTTTTTATTGCCCCAACCTCCCAAGTAGCTGGGATGAACTTGTACCACCCCTCCCAGCTGCCCATGGTTTTTGGGTAGCAACTGTCCCCTAACACACTTTGAGGCTTTAATAGCCTTAACACTTTGAGCACTTGAGAGCTGGCTGCTATACACACCAGAAACATCAGTGTGGTGTTAAGTAGGAACCTGGCAGCCCCAAAGACAGCTCATTTTTTCTTTCATTTGGATTCTAGCACCTCTGCAGGTCAGACCCTCCTTCCCAAGTCGGCGATATACCTTCCGGAGGTACTAGAAACCAACCACAGGTTGTGCTCAGTGTTCTGGAAAGATAGTGAATGTATTTTTATGATATTTCCATTTTAAGAAAGCAGAATATTTCTTGCCCAGGGCTGGCAACTTCAAGCACTGTCCCTCCTGCGCCCCAATTCCCAATTCTCTCTGGGTGACTCAATCTCTTGCCATTAAGAGGTACAGGGAAGAAAAGTTTGAAAAGCCTCAAAGATTGCAGTTTTGCTTTTAATCTGCTCAGGCCCACCTCCGCCCCCTTGTGACCAAGGCCATGCATTGCAAAGCCTTAACACTTTAAGGGTATAATTAGCTAAATATGTGAAAGATCCTGGGAGATTCCGGCAGCAGTGAAATTGCTGACCCAGCCCCATGAATAGTGTTAACGGTGCCCAGAACAGAAGCCCGCCCTAAGTGTGGCCTCTGCTTCACCCAGCACAGGAGCAGGGTACAGAAGGCTGGGGAATCTAGTTCCTCTTCCCAGTGGAGACCAGATCTCTCCCACTGACCCAGCAAGACAATAACAGAACTGACTTGTTCAAATTGCAGACTATTTTACCTCGAGGAGGCAGGCAGGAGCTGGATCGAGATCAAATGGAACACTGGGTTCACGAGCAGCTGGTGTTCAAGGCGCTGCTGCCCCTTCCCACCTATGGTGTTTGCAGTGCAGTACCTAGGGGCTCTTTTTGGCCCTACAGAGGATGGACATGCCTGCTAGGCGAGTCCTCTACCAGAAAGCTATACCCTAGGGTTCCTTGATTTTGAGACAGAGTTTCACTAAGTTGGCCAAGGCTGGCCTTGAACTTGTCATCCTTCTCTACCTCTGCCTTCTGCGTCACTGGGGTTACAGTTGAACCAGGATGCTGCTTACCTTTCAACCGGAGGTCACCCATTCTTGCTCAGCACAAAGCTGCACAGAGAATCCAACAGAAGCATTGGCATCATCTGTTTGACTTCGTTTTCATTATCATTACTAATCTTTGCCACTAAAAACAGCCACTATTTAGCTGAATTATTCAACAGAAATCTGGGACCAGAAGCATGTACATGTTCTAGAATTCGAGCAAGCCAACTCTTGTTCCATTAACCAGGATAAGTGTGGTACGAACAGTGACAGAGGGAGAAATCTGAGACACTGAAAGTGCATTAAGTGCTATTTCTTAAAACAGGCAATTGGCACAATCAGCCTGTCAGAAGTTTCTGAAGTGAAAGAAAACCACACGAATCCTAAGGCAAATAACTTTATTATCTTTCCTTATTAAAGAACCAAGGAGCATGTAAAAAATATGTAAAACAGCAATAGATACAATTCCAGGGGTAAATGAAGGACTGATACAGCCCTTAAATACAAGGGTCTGTGCATACCAGTGACGGGGTCTGCCAATGGCAGAATCCTCCTCCCCAGACTAGGAGTTCTGCCGGGACCCAGGTAGGTATCTGCCTTCTTATTTTTTAATTTTTGATTTTTTAAAAAACAGTACTGGGTACTAAACCCAGGGACACTCTACCACAGAATTATAACTGGAACCCTTTTTATTTATTTTTTACTTTGACATGGGGCCTCGTGAAATTGCTGAGGCTAACCTTGAACTTAGATTCTCCTGCCTCAGCCTCCTGAGCTGCAGGGATTACAGGCCTGTGCCATCAAGCCCAGCTTAAATCTACCTTTTTGAAACAAGCTCTCCCACTAATATTTAACTTAAAAGAGAACTTGGCAATATTTCTTCCCTTCCACAATCCAGGCTGGAACTTGACTAATCCCAAACTAAAACTAAAGAACTGCACACCAGACGCCACCTGTTGTTTTCATGATCTCAAACTCTGGAGGAAGTACATTCCGCCCGTCGTGTTTTTTCTAAGGGCACCTGTCTGAATTTGGTACTGTGGTTCCACTTGAGTGTCATCACTGGGCCTGGGCCTCATTCCCCACCTGAAGCCGTGTCCCTCTCATATGACACCAGATGGGGAACAAGCCTAAGAAGGAGGCAGGAGGCTCCACAGGCCTGAGGCTCCTGCAGGCTCTCCGACAATGCCCTAGAGGATGGGCTGCGCTTTAACAGGATGAGTATACAGATGTTAGAGGGGTGGTTTGAGGTGATAGCCCTGTGGGCAGCAAGCAGGCCTGTGGTGGCCAAAAGTTCCAAATAGTACTGAATGAACATGCCCAGTCCCTGTGCCCCTGCCCAGCAACTGCTGGCAATGGAAGCAGCATATCTGCACACCTCCCTGCCTGCAGGAGATGCTCTGTAGGAGTCCATGACTCCATTCTTCCCTGCTCCGGAGATGCCTTTGTGGAGGGAGGGGGTGGGAAATACATGTGAGCATGCTTCGGTCAATGTCTCTGGGGCTGCCAAGTCTTGGACTCACTTGGGACCCAGACACTCCACAATCCCATTTCCCTTCATGCCATCAAAAAAGAAGAAGTTGTTGTGAGGAGGGTCCCTCTGAGACAGAGCCTGGGAAGAAAAACAAAGAAGGTTGAGCTCAAGTGCTTTACCTACCTGCTACACATGCAGCACTGGGGACTGTACTCGAGGACTTTTTTTTTTTTTAGTTATAGGTGGACACAATGCCTTTATTTTATATTTATGTGGTGTTGAGGATCAAACCCAGTGCCTCACACATGCTAGGCGAGCGCTCTACCTCTGAGACACAATCCAAGACCCTCGAGGACTTTAAAAGTGATAAATGGAGGGGAAAAAAATACTTCTAAAAAATGAAATAAATGCAGTGTAGGGAAATTGTTCTCAATCTGGATTGACTGTACTCCTCAGGGGGTATTCTGGCAATGTCAGGAGGCAATTTTGATTGTCATTTCTCTTTGCTTTGTCTCTAGCCAGCTGTGTCCTTGGGTGGATCATTTAACCTCTGAACCTTACTTTCTTCATATATAATGAGTATTACAAGTTTATTAAGCTGGAGATCAAAACAGATGATGTACCTCAAATACTTAGAATGATGCCTGGCTCAGAGTAACGCCACGAGGCAATGACAGAAATAATTATGACCATTCAGCTAAGAAAGGCAGCACTGCATTCCAACTTTCCTTGGGCTGCAGGCTTTACAACTTGAAGGGACACATTTAACTGAAGGACACAAAGATGTAGAAGGAGGCTCCTTCATGAGGACACAATGTAGCTGCTCTCCCACAGGCCAGGCCAGGCCAGGCCAGGGCTGGAATCCAGAAGGCCCAGGTGATGTCAGCCAGCCACAGAGACCATCATCTTGTGGGTGAGACAATGCATTTTTAAAATGGGGTCACTCCTTGAAGTCACATGCAGAGTCACACATGTACATACATTTTTCTAAGAAAAGGTTCATAGGTGATAGCAAAGCTTTACAGAGGTGACCTCCTTGAGGAAGTCAGAACATCCTGAAAGGCTCTCCCTTCTTTGGGGGGGCAGGGTTTACCAGGGACTGAACCCAGGGGTACTTAACCACTGAGCCACATCACTAGCCTTTCCTAATTTTCTTTTTTTGGGACAGGGTCTCAATAAGCTCCTCAGGGCCTTGCTAAATTGTTGAGGCTGGCTTTGAACTTGAGATCCTCCTGCTTCAGCCTCCAGAGCTGCTGGAATTATAGGCCTGTGCCATGGCGGCTGGCTCGAATGGCTCCTCTTTGAACTATGCTCTATTCCCTGCACTGAGAACCATTCCCATTCTGTTTCTTCAAACTATATAAAATGGGGGCAAGCAGATACTTGATTATTCAGCCAAGCAAAATTTGTTAAGCATCTACTCTTTTCCAGGTACTGCCCTAGACAGACATTACAGACACTGAGAAGGTCCCTGCCCACAGGGAGCTTTGATCAAGAAGAGGTCTGCTTCTCTAGGTATGCACATAAATGAGCAGATAAACAACATCTACCTGCTAGTTTCTGGTAAGGATAAAATGTAACCAGGCTTGTAGCATGCCTGGCAACTAGGAAATTCTCAACTGTGAGCTGTTCTTACTAAGGGGGCTGGGGGTCCTCTGTCAATGGGTATGTGGCAGGTGGAAAGGCCTAACACACCACACTTGGAATTCCTAGACCCCTGAACCAAGTTACAGGTTATCAATACTGGCCTTGAACTCCAGAGTTCAAGCAATCCTCCTGCTCTAGCCTCCTGAGCAGCTGGGACTATAGGCATGTGCCACCACGTCCAGCTTAATTAACTTTTTTTTATGTGTGTGTGTGTGGTACTGGGATTGAACTCTGAACCTGTGTATTCTATTAAGTGGTCTACCACTGAGCTCCATCCTGAGACCTTTTTTATATTTTGAGACAGGGTCTCATTAAGTTGCCAAGGATCAGGGCTGGGGTTGTGGCTCAGCAGTAGAGTGCTCGCCTAACACATGCGAGGTGTCCCTGGGATCAATTCTGAGCACCACATAAAAATAAATAAAGGTATTGTGTATAACTACAAATAAAAAATATTAAAAAAAATAAAAATAAAAAGTTGCCCAAGATGGTCTCAAATTTGTAATATTCCTCCAATGAGCTTCTGTAGTAGCTGGGATAGCAGGAGAGTGACACTGTGCCTCTCTTGGTCCATTTTAACATGGAGCCTGGGATAGTGGCTAGGCTTTCACTACCACCTCTACCACTATGGGGATGGAGACCTGCTATAGGGACAAAGGAAAAGCAAAAATAATTTTTAAAAAATTTTTGTAGGTGCTGCAGTCAAACCCAGGGCCTCAAGCATGCTAAGCAAGCACTTTACCATTGAGCTACTTCTCCAACACTCCAAGAATGACTTGGAAGCATGACATGACACCTGTATCTGGAAGCATGTGACAAAGGAAGAAGTGAAAGACAATCCCAAGGGGATAGACATCTACCTTTGCCCTCCCGTTCCTAATGCTTACTCATCAGGTGCTGAGACGATGGCCTCAAGTTGCAGGACCCTCTCCAGATGGCTGAGGGCAGGAAGGATGGTAAGTGATGGGGAGCAGTGGGGACAAGAGACTGGGGGGGGGGGCTGGGATGAACCCAGGGCAAAAGGTAAAGTGCTTCCCAGCAGGACAGGGTAGGAGGAGATTCCAAACACACCCAGCAACCAAGAATGCAGAGTACTCTGGCTATCTGGGATAAACAGAAACAAGATGCTGGGCAACAGCTGTCCCCAGCAGGCAGGAAGGAGGGGGCAGCATTAGGACTAAGATGCACAGAAGTCACTGCAAACAATGAGGTCAAGGCCACCTGCCCTCACATCCACTCTCCACCCCACAGGAAAAAAAACAGAGAGCAGCTTCCCAACAGACTGGACAGAAGCAAGGCTGAGGACCAGGGCAGGGCTCGGGTGGGGTGCCGTGGAGGGCAACACCTGAAGCCTGACTGAGTGCTCAGAAGCAATCACAGAAGCCAGACTGCCTGGCTCCACCACCTCTATTTTCTTCCTTTTTTTTTTTTTTGTTTTTTTAGTTGTAGATAAATAAAATGAAAGTAGATAGAAATGTAGATAGATAAAATGAAAGAGAAGTGTGTCTGTCTATTTTTCTGTGGTGCTGAGGATCAAACCCTGTGCCTCACACGTGCAAGGAAAGCACTCTACCACTGAGCCAAAACCCTAGCCCGTCCTCCACCTCTTACCTTGGGCAAGAACCCCACCTGTTGTACCTCAGTTCTTCCTTTACGAATCATGGATCAGTAAGGCATAATTGTAATCCTGACTACTCAGAAGGTTGAGGCACGAGGATTCAAGTTTGAGGCCAGTTTGGGAAACACAGTGAGACCTTGTCTCAAAATAAAAAGTGAAAAGGGCTATGGATGTAGCTCAGTGGTAGAGAACCCTGGGTCCAATCATCAGTACCACCTCCCCTAAGTAAATAAACAAATAAATCAGTGATCACAACTGCTTCTGCCTTGTAGTACTTGGCAAGTGGGGAAGTGGGTGTGGCCATAGCACACTTCTCTTCTCCCCACTTTGAATCTTCTCAGCCCAGGACATAGAATTTGATTGGATTTGGGCAAAAGAAGAATCTAGTCCAAAGAGAAGAACAGGAAAGACAGCGGGGGAAAAAGAAAAACACCATAGGAAGATATGTGAGATTGTCCAATTGAAGCCAATGTCTGTAGAGCAAATTTACAGACTCCAAGACACAGTGGTGAGAGCTGGGTCTCCAACTGTCCTTCTAAGCTCAAATCTGACATATATATGAACAGGGGGAATCATTTAGCCAGGCGTAACTTTGCCCCATAAAAGAAAAGGACAAGTCGAGTGTGGTGACACACACCTATAATCCCAGGCACTCAGGTGGCTAAGGCAGGAAGATCACAAGTTCAAGGCCAATCCAGGGTGAAACCCTGTTAAATAGAGAGGAGCTGGGAGATCTCAGAGGTAGAGCACTTGCCTAGCACTTGTTCAATCCCCTGTATGAGGAGAGGGGAGGAAAGGGATGGGATGGAAAAATCATTACTGCAAGTCCACCAACACAGGCAAGAAGCTGTGGGAGGCAAAAGAAAGAAAGAAGAAAATAGTAGTGATGCGGATCAAACCCAGGGACTTGTGCACGTTAAGCATGCATTTTGCTATTGAGCTATATACGCCAAGCCCCCAAAAAAGGCAAATTTAACACTGCCAAATAGCAAGACCCCAATGGAAATGAAATATATTTTGAAAAATGCTATGTTTTGGCAACCCAAATATTCCAGAAGAGCTAAAAAGGCTGTATTAGTTATTGGCTATGTGACCCCTCAGGAGACATACCCTTTTGGTGTGTGGGTTAAAAAGGAGGAGTGGGTTTGGAATGGTGGTGTGGCTCAGTAGTAGAGCCCGTGCCTTGCATGTGAATGCCTGGGCTCCTTCCCCAGAATCACAAACTGGAGAAAAAAAGAGGCGGGGGCTTCGATTCATGGTGATGTATGGAGCTTAGAGCGAAAGTTTTGGAGTCCCTTTTTCTGAGCTCCAGTGTCCACCTCTTACATAAGGACCACAATGATACACATTACACACAGCTGTGAGAAGAACTGGCAACTACACTAAGCAGAAGATACCAGCAGACAGCTCCTTGGTTCTCTCTGAGGTCACATATAAAGTCATCATGCCCCTTCTTCTGCTCCATTGTGACTTTTTTTTGATACCAGAGATTAACTCCAAGGGCACTTAACCACTGAGCCAATACATCCCCAGCCCTATGTCAAGACAAGGTCTCGCTAATCTTCCAACTTGCAATCTTCCTGCCTCAGCCTCCCAAGTCACTGTGATTATAGGCATGTGCCACCCACGCTTGGCTCTATTGTGACTTTTTACCTTCACAATTTCCTGTGCCAAGATCCCTCCAACCACTGCACACACTGGGGCCATCTCGGAGAAGCAGTACCTAAAAAGAGAGGACAAGTGAAACGCAGCACTGGGGAACAGGAGGGCTGATGTGATATCTGGAAGAGTTCAGAAGTGGGTCCACTGGAACAAACACATCCCACCAGGAAGAACCCATTCAGACAGCGGTTATCAATGCTGGCATCTAGGCGTGGAAGTTAAATCTGGCCCAGGGGTTGTAAATGGCCGGGAAAGACCTCTGTACTTTGGGAGGCAGGAATTCTTTCATACACAATTTTTTTTTTTTTTTTTTTAAGTTAAAGGAAAGACTATATCTGTGCTTCCTAAAAATAAGGTCTTACAAATATGTTTCAGTACCCTGGTCACATTCTCACAATTCTCCTCTGACTATAATGGGCAGTGGGTTCTATATGCTATTCCCAAACAAATGCCAGGGAGGAGGCCTGTGTTAACATGTAGGAAGCATGGGAAATTTGGGGCCTGAAATTAAAGCACATGGCAAAATAACGTTTTACAACCCAAGCAGAAATCACCACTTCTGGAACAGGATGGGGCATCCACAGGACAATTTTTTGCTATTACTGTCACCTGGTACTTCAAATCACTCATCCTGGAAATTAGAACGTACTCACCACCTCTACCTCCCCAAAGGGAGCATGATTTGCCAGCTCCACCCCTCAACACAAAGGTATTTATTAACTCAGAAAACTGGGACACGACAAGTTACAGGAATCATCCTACCACCAAGGAGACCTTTGCCCTTTCTACTTAGTTGCATAATTCTTCAAGACATTTAAATAATTACACGTCCAAACATATAATTTTAAACCTAAATATCAACATTTGTTCTGCAACATATTAATATATATTTAAACTGTTCAACACTGCAATCATGTATTTTGACAAGGCTATACAAATAACTCCTAAAAAGGCAAAGATTGGCATAATCTCAGCAATTTGGGAGGCTGAGGCAGGAAGATCATAAATCGGAGGCCAACCTTAGCAACACAGTGAGATCCTGTCTCAACATAATTTTTTTTTTTTGGTTACAGGTGGATAGAATGTCTTTATTTTATATTAATGTGGTGCTGAGGATCAAACCTAGTGCCTCACACATGCTAGGCGAGCGTGCTACCTCTATGCCACAATCCCAGCCCTCAACATAAAATTTTAAAAAGGCTAGGGGTGTGGATAGTGGTAGAACTGCTTACCTACCACATGCAAGGCCCTGGGTTCAATCCACACTTAAAAACAAAAATATATCAATGAAACAAAACAAACATTGCTACAAGAAAGAGAAATCTAAAATGTGGAATAAGGCAACCAGCCTCAACACCTTAAAAAAAAGAAAAAGTATCAGATAATAAATATTTTTGGGCTTACAGACATATAGTCTCTTTTATATAACTTTTTTCAAGTCCACTGACAGTATCACAACTACTATATAGATGATATGCAAATAAGTGTGCTAATAAAACTTTATTTATAAAAACAGGTGGCTAGCCAGTTTTTAATCTGTATTCTGGATTAACAGTAAAAGAAGCAAATGCAACAGATGAACTTTTATGAGATTTTTTTTTGGTACTGTGGATTGAACCCAGGAGCAATTAACCACTGAACCACATCCCTGGCCTTTTTTTGAGACAGAGTCTGCTAAGTTGCTTGGGGGCCTTGCTAAATTACTGATGCTAGCTTTGAAATTGTGATCCTCCTGCCTCAACCTCATGAGGCTGGGATTATATGCATGAGCTACCATGCCCAGCCCAAGGAAACATTTTAAAGACCCTTATATTTCTTTTTTTTGGTTGTTTTGTTTTGGGTATGGGTGTTGAACACAGGAGAACTCTACCACTGAGCTATATTCCTAGCCCTTTTTTAATGTTTTAATTTTCAGACGGGGTCTCTAAATTATTAATGCTGGCTTTGAATGTGTAATCCTCCAGCCTCCAAAATTGTTGGGATTATAGGCATGTGCCACCATGCCCAGCTCCTTCATACATAGTTTTAAAAGTGTTTCCTGAGTAGCTCATACTTTTTTCAATTCTTCTTGCCAACAATGAATATTACAAGTAATTTTTTAAAAATCCACAAAGGATTTTGTTCATCTGACACATGATACGATATAATGGCATCAAATGGTCAATGCTTTTCTTTAGGTAATGGAATTATGAGTGACTTCAATTTTCATCTTTATGATTATGCTATAAAATCTGATTTTCCTATAATGAACTGGCAAATTATTTATGTAATTTTGTGGAGGGGGAGGTTTGGCTTATTGTTTATGGTGTCAGGGACTGAACCCGGGGCTTTTTGCATGCTAGGAAAGCATCTACCACTGATCTATAGTTCCAGGCCTACTAACATAATTAAAAATAATAATAATAATAATAATAATAATTAAGTTATCAATGGACCTTAATTTTATTTATTCACATGCAGTGCTGAGAATTGAACCCAGTGCCTCACATATGCCAGGTAAGTGCTCTACAATTGAGCTACAACCCCAGCCCAATAATCTTAAAACCAGTAAGTGGGAGTATAGCTCAGTGGTAGAGTATATGCTTAGCATGTGTGGGGCCTTAGATTCCATCCTTAGCACCAAAACACCCCAAAACCAACCAAATAAAATACTAAACAAATCAGTAAGTTCACAAATATTTTTTGATTTCACTTATATGAAATATTTAGAATAGTCAAAATAATGGTGGGGAGGAGGGAAGAATAAGGAGTTAATAGTGAATGTCCTTAATGTCAGTAAACTGTACACTGAGAAATGGTTAAAACAGGGCTGGGGATACATGTGGCTCAGAGGAAGAGCATGTGCTTAGCACGCTTGAGGCCCTGGGCTCAATCCCCAGCAATATAAAAAAAAAAAAAAAAAAAAAAGTGTAATGGTTTATATATATCTTATCACAATAAAAAATTTTTTTCAACATACACTACAAACATGTTATATGGTACCAGGGATTAAAGCTGTGCTTCAGCACTGAGCTACATCCCATGATGTTAATTTATTTTGATACAGGGTCTCACTAAGTTGTCAAGACAAACTTTGCCCTTATACCCTTTCTGTCTCATTTTCCTGAGTATCTGGAATTACAGGCATGTACTACCATGCCCAAAGAAGAATTAGAAGCAATTAAATAACTACCAACAAAATATTGATTAAGTTAATGATCATATATCTAGAACACTGAAACTTTATGAAATACAAGTGACAGGCTTCTGTGTTTGTTAACATAAACAGCTCTGTGATATGCTGGGAAAGGCTATCAAGGAGCACAGATAGTAATGATCCATTTTGATATTAAAAAAGAGAAAATATAGCCAGGCATGGTGGTGCACACCTGTAATCCCAGCAGCTCAGGAGGCTAAGACAGGAAGATTGCAAGTTCAAAGCCAGCCTCAGCAATGGCGAGGCACTAAGCAATTCAGTGAGACCCTATCTCTAAATAAAATACAAGATAGGGCTGGGGATGTGGCTCAGTGGTTGAGGGCCCCTGATTTCAATCCCCAGTACCAAAAAAAAAAAAAAAAAAAAAAAAGTGTGTGAGAGAGAGAATATATATGAATAAACAAAGAAAATCTGTGAGCCTAGACCCTGAAATCTTAACAGTGGCTAGATTTATAAATGGTCCTTTTCTTCCATGTTATACTTTCTAGAAACGGGCATCTGTTACTTTCATAATCAGAAAAGCAATAAAGCTCTCTGAAAAGAGAATAAATAACGTAACATGAAGGAGACTGCCAGCAACTCACAGATGAAGGAAACAGAGACTTGTGCACAGTCCTCCCTGCACGGAAGCAGCGCCGGGCAATTTGTGAGGGTGGCTCAGCTGTGAAGCAGCAGCTCATTTCCTTGCCAGCACCCCCATCACATCTCAGGTCATTTCACCTCGTGCCCAGAGACAGGCTTCAAAAGGCCACCAAAAACCTCTTACTTAGAAAGCAATAGAGTGGGAGCTCTCAACATGTGACACCTAGATTTAGCTTTTTTTTTGTTTTTGTTTTTGGTAGCATGAATTGAACACTGGGGCTTTACCTCTGAGCTATATCCCCAATACTTTCCAGACAGGGACTTGATAAGTTGCCAAGACTGGCCCTGAATTTGTGGTCCTTCTGCCTCAGCCTCTCGATTTGCTGGGATTACAAGTGTGTACCACCATTCTCATAGAAACCTAGACGGGGGGAAGCAACTTCCACGAAGAAGATAGGCAAGGAAAGACAACACTGGGGCAGAAATTCCCAGCCAGCAGCTCCCTAGGCTGTGGCTAGTCTTTTCTGGAAAGCAGGGCCTTTGAAGAACTATGCTGGCTGGCACCACAGAGTCAGACAGCTCACCACTCTAGACACCCAAAGTAGTCCCTCAGCTGTGTACACCTCACAGCCCAGCACGAGACACCAGGTGTGCTGGGCTGGCTTTAGCCTGCCGCTGACTTCCTGGGTGCATCTGTTTGAAGTGAAGCCTGTCTGACTCAGTTCCCTCCTTCTGTGAAGAACAGAGTAGACTTCTCTCTGTGCTTTTTTTTTCTTCTTCTTTTTAAAAAATATTTTGTTTTTAGTTGTAGATGGACACAATACCTTTATTTTACTTATTTATTTTTATGTAGTGTTGAGGATTAAACCCAGGGCCCTTGCACATGCTAGGCGTGTGCTCTACTGCTGAGCCCCAGCCCCAGCCCCTCTCTGTGCTTCTTATACAGCATTTTTTCCTCCACTAAGACATGAGTGCCTGGCTGAATTAGTGAGAGACAGAGACCCCATCCAAGCCTGCAGTGCCATCAGCCCTGACTTCATGGTGCCAACGCTGCAGAAGCACCTTATGTAGACTGCTGTCCAGTTTTATACAATGGCCTTTTTTTTCAGAACTCTATAGGTAGTTTAGAAAGGAGGACACACTAACTGACTTTACTGTTAACCTTGTGAAAAGACTATCTTTTTCAGACAATTTCATCATTTAAATAAAGAGGAAATAATAACATACAATTTTAAGAGACTGATGAGATAATTCAATGCAGTAACACAATAGGTAAAGCATATAGTTTTCAATATCAGATGCTACTGGTAATAGGTACAGAAATTTGAACTAGTCACTTAACTTCTGTGAGGTTGATTTCCATACCTACAGAAAGCATTGTTGAGAAGACTGAGAGACAGTGTATAAAAGCAACTACTAATGCCTGGAGTGTGGCAGCTGCTAGATAAATTGTAATGGATGACAGCTATCATTACCAGTGCTACAATCCAGGGGTGCAGCAAAGCTGCTGAAGCTCCCAGAGACAAAGAAAGGGAACTAGAATGGTATGATCCCAGAATTGCTTTTAAGGAGTTCATGATTTAGCCACCACGTGACCTTCTCTAACCAAATCCCAAGCCTGACTGTACGTGAGCAAAAGACTGGGGGACCTAAGGTGAAAACGCCTCAGTGCCAAAGATTAGGGTGCTGAGAACATGGACATCTTGGGTGGTGGATACACAAATTGACAGGCTAGAATGGTGGTCAAAGTGGCAATTGTCTACCAAACAATGACCTGCAACTTTGGACCCATAAGTTCCCCTTCCCACTCACTCATCCTGCAGCTGTACAAGGTCCCACACTGAAGCATCATGTGAGAACAAAACCCTGAACAAAATTCCATCAAGCAAGTGATTGGTTCACTAACACTATATTGGAAAAAAGGGAGTAAATTATGCACTGATATGAAAATGTCTCCCAAGAGATAAATGTATAGTGAAAATCAAGAGGTATAATACTGTTACTAAAGCTGCCTTGAATTTCAAATCATATAAATAGATCTTTACATACCGTCAAAAACAGAACCCGCAGGGCCAGGAATGCGGTGCAGTAGGAGAGCATTTGCCTAGCATGCATAAGCACTGAGTTCAACCCCCAAGATCATTAAGATAAAAAAAATAAAGAAAAAGATAAAAACAGAACATGTGCCTCTTTTACTTTTTATCTACTATTACACCGGTGGAAAGGCAGAGGCCTATAGGAGTCAGCAGAATGTGACATAGGGAGCTTTCTTCAGGGCTTTGGAGGTCTCTATAAAGAATCTCCCCAAACTAAGGCAAACACGGAAACCAGGTGTTTCTCCATCTGAGCCAAACTTGACAAACACTGAGACAAACCTGACGAAGTCGTCGGGAAGCAAATCAGGATTAACACCCAATGAGTCAAGCACATCGTTTCGTATCTGGAGCAGCAACTCAGAATCTTCCCCGTAGGTGTCAGAACTAGGATCTCTTCCTTTATCCGTGCGGAATTTCAGAAGCACTGACAAAGGGGAAAACAAGCGTTTATACACACAGTCTTCTCATAAGGAACATTCACGGATTTCAACTATCAAAACAAGTATTTTTTCTATAGGAAGCAGTGTGTTAATTAAAATGTGGACCACGTGAGCTGATGGGAAGGGGCTGAGCATTCTCTCCTTGGCAGCCCCCAGTCTGCCCCTCCCCATCCCTGCTCCACCATCACCCCCAACACATTAAAAAAATACCCATAGCTCCACCTCAGCAGATGGCTGCAGAGATGGACAACAGGGAGGTATTTTGAGATACCTGGAAGAGGGGTACCCAGAAAAACAACAGAGGAAGTAGAAATTAGTTGGTCTTATTGCTCATTATGTATTCAAAGCCCAAGCAATCCTCGTTGGTCTCTTGTACCTGCTTTATGATACACTGTAGTGACTAGTAACTGCACTTTTGGTGTGTTTTGGGGGGGATGCTGGGGATTAAATCCAGGGGTGCTTTACCTCTGACCACATCCCCAGCCCCTTGCTTTTTATTTTGAGACAGGATCTTGATAGGTTGCTTAAGGCATCATTAAATTGCTAAGGCTGACCTTGAACTTGTGATCCTCCTGTCTCAGCTTCCCATGTCACTGGGATTACAGGTGTGTGCCACTATGCCCAGGTCCCTTTTTTTAATGAAGTGTGCTGGATGTCTCTACAATTTTGTTCAGATGACTAAAGAACTTGGAAAAGTTGTTACTGCTATTGATGCATAACATACTGCTGTTATTGGTCTTTTACATTAACATATTACAAATACATCCACATACGGAATATAAAATATTAATAAAAACATATTTATGTGTAATTATACTATATTTTGAATATATTATAATTATACATAATTTGAATTTTTGAAAACTTCAGCTGTGCTGTCAACTTTGGAGAAAGTATCCTGGTTAACAGCCATACTGGTCTACAAATGTTACATTTAGTATTTTTTTTTTCCACTTACACAATAGAATAATAGGGTGCAAAAATATAAGGGGGTCTGACACCATCTGTAGGGCAGTATCAAGTTGAGGCTTCCCTGAGGATGCAACAAGTGAGCTCCATGTATGCAGAAGCTTCCTGCAGAGGGCAAAGGTCCTATTATGACCAGAGGAGAGATCAGGAGGGAGGCACGTATTCTAGGCATTAGTTCAAACTGCTGCCTTCAGCCAGAAAGGCCAAATACTCAGACTGACTCATCGGACAGACAAGTCTCTACAAACAGAACCTCCCTTAATACAAAAACTATGTCAACCTCTAGAAATGGATGTTTAAAGGTTGTAAATAAGTTGAAAGTTTCCAATGATGGTGTTGAATAAGAGCTACTGTGTATGGAGACACCAACAAGGCAAGAACTTTCAGTCTAAGCAAAAAGACACAGACAGGAGCAGGATACTGATGATCTCAATGCAGGCATCTGCTACCACTGCACGTTGTCCTGTGTCCCCTGCATGCCAAATGCAGAGACATTCTTGCTTTTTGTGTAATCCCAAGACAGAAGGTCAGCTGGCTGTGAACCTTACCCCCAAGTAACACTTTCTCCTATAATCACAAGGCTATTTCAGACGGGATGTGTAAGCATGGGAGTGAGTTTCTTTTTTCTTTTTTGGCACTGGGGATTGAACTCAGGGGCCCTTGACCACTGAGCCACATTCCCAGCCCAATTTTGTGTTTTATTTATGGACAGGGTCTCACTGAGTTGCTGAGTGCCTTGATTTTGCTGAGGCTGCCTTTGAATTCGGGATCCTCCTGTCTCAGCCTCCTGACCCGCTGGGATTATAGGAGTGCACCTCCATGCCCAGCTTGGGGGTGAGTTTCTAGGTGCAAGACCTGGGCGTACTTTATACTTCTTGTTCTCTTCTACAAGGATACAACTTCCAGAACCCTTACTACTTCCTAAATACTTGGCAGTCAACTCAAATCCAATATGGATCCTGGCCAATACTGTTCCACCATTATCCAAGTCTACCTTCTGACTCTGCAGATGAGTTGGTTATATCCCAATCTGCAGTATACAAATACATTGAAATAAGCATTGGGGGTCTGAGAAAAGACTGCAGTGGTGGCAGTTACTCAATTTGCAGCAAGACTTTTCTAGCATTGTCCCATTATACAAAGACCTCCAGAAATCTGCTAGTCCAGCCAAACCAGAATACTCCAGTTGAGTCTGAGAATGCCAGCTACTATTTCTGTCAATGACTCCTAAGACAGGGCTACAAGATACAGCACTGCTATTAGTGCTGCCCCAACAGATGATAGAGGCAAAGACCACCCCAGTCTGATTGTACCACACAATCCTAGGCAAAGTGGCTTAGTGGAAACCAAGTGAGGATGCTTGCTTTCAGGTGTCTGGAATTATAGCAATAGAAGCCCCAGGCTGGTGGCCTCCCATACAGATTCTCTCATTTCTGGGTCACTGGGACAAAAGCACTGTCATAAGGGACCAAGAAATGTAATTTTTTTCAGCCTTCACCACAATTTTTTAACTTTTAGTTAGAAAGTATAGCTCCAGGAACCAGGTGTGGTAGTGCATGTCTGTAATTCCAGGAACCCAGGAGGCTGAGGCAAGAGGACTACAAGCTTGAGGCCAGCCGTAGCAACTTAACAAGGGCTTAAGCAACTTAGAAAGATATTCTCAAAATAAAAATAAAAGCCCAGACTGTTACAATACTTGTTTTGTACCATACATTACACTGAACACATTTCAAATATGAACACTCAGTCATAATCCATGAGATCAGTAAGTATCATCACCAACCTTATAAATAAGGAAATTCAAGTTCAGAGACATCAAGAGACTGCTTACTATAATTACTAAGAAGTAGTAAAGCAGAAATGTAAATGTGGACCTGCCTTCTTCCATTAGGGAACATAGCACCAAGGGTTTCAGTGGTCTAGCTCTTTTTTTTTTTTTTTTTTAGTTTTCGGCGGACACAATGTCTTTGTTTGTATGTGGTGCTGAGGGTCGAACCCGGGCCGCACGCATGCCAGGCGAGCGCGCTACCGCTTGAGCCACATCCCCAGCCCAGTGGTCTAGCTCTTTGTCCTCCACTTCAGAACCCTCATTTGAGCACATGTTCGTGAGATGCATTTTCCAGATTGACCTGAACTCTCACAATGGGTGCATTCATTGAGACTATTAGTTCAGTGGGTGTACAGTGGAGGTGACAGTGACATAAAATCTTGCCCGTCAATCTTCAGAGAATAAAACCAGCTTTATCTCAAAGATGGCACTAAGAGAAAGGGTGAAGGGAGGCAGCAGCTGGCCATGCTGGTTCTTTAGGCCCCTGGCCTGTTCCTGATACAGTTTGTGTGGATGAGGGCCAGCAGGCTGGTACCAACCACATACCTCACTAACCACATCTTTAGTGCTCTCAAGGGCCACTGGGAAAGGGTCCAGTCGGTCAGGTCACTTACTTGCAGTAAAGCAAACAGAAGCCGTCTTTTTCACTCTTTTTCTAATGCCGGCCCTCCAGTTAACAGGGGTGGAGGGGGCAGGAAGAAACCCATGTTCTAGAAGTGTAGCAGTCCCAGGACTGACCCCAGCCCCTGGTAAGTTCTTGCTTATTAAATTCTCCTTCGTTTTGCTTTCTGCAGCTCCCTAACAGACAGACACAGACACATACACATCACTGTTGACTCTGTATTTCTGAAAGCACTTCCCCACCAGTTTACACATTATAAACCCATTCTGTTAAGATCAAACACTGTCAGGGATGGAAAGCGGCTGTGCCAAAAGATGACTCATCAAATCGTATCCAAACACCGCACAAAATTAGAGTTCCAAACTTGATTAACTTCATCTGAACCTTTTAATTAACTCAGGCTGTTGGAAGTCCGGGGGTGGGGGGTAACATCATTGCTGGAGATGATGAGTATGTCTCTGCTTAAGTTCAGGACTTGCCCATGTAGTGGAGAAGACAAATGTTGAAAATTAGAAAACAAGCACCTTTTCACATATGGACTGTATGTACATGAATATATCGCCACCTTTGCAAAACTGTTTGAACACTCACATTGATATCTGATCCAAATGCAGAACACCAGATTAGTGCTATTTTGGATGGCAATATTAATAATAACCGTTTCTTTCTAAAAGATTCAAATATGTGGGGCTGGGGATGTGGCTCAAGCGGTAGCGCGCTCGCCTGGCATGCGTGCGGCCCGGGTTCGATCCTCAGCACCACATAACAAACGAAGATGTTGTGTCTGCCAAAAAATAAATAATAAATAGTTCTCTCTCTCTCTCTCTCTCTCTCTCTCTCTCTCTTTAAAAAAAAAAAAAAAAGATTCAAATATGTGATTATAGGGACTGGGGCTGCAGCCCAAGTGGTAAAACTCGTGTGTAGCATGCATCAACCCCTAGGTGCCACAAAGCACCACAAAAAACAATTATATTATATTCAATGTAATAAAAAACTAAGTGCAAAATAACCAAACTTTTTAACAGGGGGGAAAATGAAGTAACAGTGTCATGAAGTAGCCCCAAACACAACTGCTGCCCTTCAAAATGGCTCAGTTTAGGTGGGGACAAGGCAGAACCTCCACTACAACCTCATTTACCTGACAGATGCCTAGTGCTTTTCTGGCTACAAAAAATCCTTGCTTGGATCTTTCCCTCTGCCCAGTTAGTTCAATTCGTCGGGACTCATTATTTTTAGAACCAATCTGGAAATGTGTTCCACTCTAACTCAGGCTCAGTGGAGCACACCTGTAATCCAAATAATGCGAGAAGGTGACGCAGGAGGTTCATAAAGTTTGAGGTCAGTCAAGCACCACCTGACGAAATCACTCATCTGACTGTGTTACCAATGATTCAGCTGTGAGCTCTGGACAGGACACTCAACTCTTGCTGCCCCATGCACCCGAGGGTGAGGCACCATAGGTCCAGATGGCTGGCTGTCATGTACCCCTACTATAGGCCTTCCTTGGAGGAGGCTCTTAAAAAGTATCTGCTGTACAAGAAGCCTCAACATTTGGTGATGAAGGA